CACGGCACCTGATCTTTCAATCAGCTCGTTTAGGAAACTCATATTATTTACCTTTTCAATTCAATGTTTGTCTGAATCTTATTCCGTTTTCTTTCCAGCAGTTTCTATAAATAAAATACACCCCACAACTCCCAAAATTTATATCAAGTAAATTGAATTTCCAAAAAATATACTTTGATACAAGACTCGTTACTTTTTTACATTTATGGCAACGGCCGTTTGACCCTTCAGAGCTGGTTCATTGCGATCGCCCACATCTAACTTTCTAACTAGTCAATTCATACCAGAGTAATAAAAGACTCAATCAATCTTTCGATTTTACAAGCAAAAACTATTTTTTCCTGATCACCACGAAAAAATGTGAGTCAAAACAATTTTTGGAGTTTGCGTTAATTACCCGCGGTTGCGTGACGGTTTTAACGTGCATTTTATGCAAAAACATCGAAAATGAACTGCGCTTTTACACCTCTCTCGGCGAGTTGCTTTTTAATTGCCCAGGCTGGATTTTTTATATGTTGCATTACAACAGTAGTAGGGCTTTACTGACGTTTAATAATTCTTCTAAAATTCCGTGTACCAAGCCGTGATTTTTTCCTTCAAAGTTTCGCAAAAATTCATTGTTTATGAAAGAGCTGAAGATAGGAATCTTAGGGCGTTTTGAAACAAGGTAAAAAATTCATTAATATTTTTAATTAATATTTTTACCAAATAGTATTGCAACTGGGATGCCTTACTTACCTGCCAAAGATGAACTTGTTTCCTTGGACCGTCTTTCTTCCCGAGGGCTTTCAAAATGGTATAATTCAAAGGTTTTTGACCGGCGACTATATGGCGTGGGACAGCATTTCACTTTTTACCGGTTTTCTCGAAAAAGAAAATTCTTTGGAAACTTTGATTGTGATTTTCGAAGGTGTTTCACCAAAGGGCCGGGGTTTTTGTGACTGAATATGAAGGATTTCGTAATTTCCGTTTTGACGGCAAATTCACGATATTTACAGACAGCCGCTCTTAACATCTTTGTCCTTGATTTATCGGTAGTGTGCAATTTTTTGCACCGTATTTGCGCTGAATAACTTTGGTGTGAATCAAATTTTGCTGTGCTATGTTCGCTGTGCAACCTAGAATATACGAATAATTTTGGTAACAGCATAGACGTACACATGGCGTAACTTGTAAATTGTATGCATACCTCTTATTAGCCGAGTTTTCGGTCCGTACTGTAAATTAGGGATCCTCGTTTTTTCCCATCGATTGGGCCATAAATCGATGGAAAAAAGCGAGGATCCCTAATTTACAGTACGGACCGAAAAAACGAGGCTAATAAGATGTTTATTATATGGCCTCTTCCTGTTTGGGGGACCGGAAACAAGTGAAGGACGCACGATTTGACAGTCATTTGACAGGCGTCAAAAAAGAAAGTATTTATTGGCGCACGAAAAAAATAGCACATAACAAAGGCTTTCCGAGAAAGTTAAAACAAATTCGCCATGTTGAAAAAGTTTATTCTTTCAAAACTAAGAGCACTGTAAGTTTTAGCTCTTTAATGTAACGCTGGAGTATTTTGGAAACCGGACACTGTCTGTCTAGAAGTCGTTTCCGTCTTTCCTCCGTTTGTCTTTGTAAACAAAACACTGCAAAAGGCAAAGAAGCTTTTCCAGGTAAGTTTGTTGTCATTGTCGAAGGATTCGCTCGTTAATTGTTTTTGGGAAAACCTCTCCGTTTCTGCCAGTTCATTCTCGTCTTCAATTGTGATCTGCGTTAAAATTTTCAAACACTGACTAGAATTCTCTTCCTCGGTAAGGTTACAATTCAGTTTCTACATCAGCTTCGTTCTCATTAAAACAAAGCTAGGTTAAAATTTGGAAAGTCAAAGTCAACATCATAGTCCTCAGGGTCTACAGACATATTTTAAAGTTTATTCGGTGAAAACTAAGAGCACTGGAAGTATTCACTCGTTAATGAGACGCTGGAGTCTTTTGAAAACTGGACATTGTGTCTGGCTCGAACTCGCTTCTATCTATCTTTCGTTGGTCTTTGATTTGATCGACAAAACACTGCAAATGGCAAAGAATCTTGTCAAGATGATCGGGTGCAGGTATGTTTGTTATCATATTTGCCGAACGAATTACTCATTTTCCCTTAGGCAAAACATCTCGAATCTCTACCAGTCGATTTTCGTCTTCTTAATTGTGTACTACTGTGTTCAAACACTGACTAGAATCCTCTTCGATAAGATTACGAGTTCAATAGTTTCTTCATCGCCTTTGTTCACAAAAAAAAAAACAGTTTAAAATGTTGAAGGCCAAAGTCAACATCCAAGTCCTCAAGGTTGACAGGCGTCTTCTAACTTTATTTAAACCTCTTTTCCGAGATAAAGAGATTTAGGGCTCCGAAATGAGTATTTTCTCTAGAAATTTTGGTCCGTATAGCAAGTTACGGACCGCAAATTGACCAATCGCAAGGGGAAAACAGATTCAGCCATATAATAAAATGAATTATCTTCCATAAAGTAGACGTGCCTGAACCTCCTCATGGAAGAAGCACCCTGTGGCTCAATTCTTGGAAGCGATCACCTCACGTGAGCGACCACTAAGCCTTTACATTTTGGGTGCTCGCTTTCGTGAGGTTCGACTGTTTCTCTGGAGACTTCTCTTTTGTATTAGACGAGTCAATTCAATTCACACTATATAAGATATTTACATAAGTGTACATTGAGTAGGAAAATGTGGAAATGTCAAGTGGAACGCCTTCAAATAACTGACACATGTCAATCGCACAAGCAGAAACGGGGAAATTTATTGGCTTTTGACATCGTTGCTTGAGTTTCGAAAGCAAACATTTACAAAATGGACAGTTTTACAAAGTTATTTGCCACAAATATTGAGAAGATACAGCTGTTAAGGAAACCGTGAAATAATTGCTTCTCCACTGAAAACTAAATGGCCTTTTTTTTTTATATCACAAAAATTGGCAGCAATGAACCTGGCGGGTCAAAACGTGTTTGTTTATTCTGTAACGCCAGTATTTTGGGGTGGGACTTCCTATGCTTTCCAAGCAGGAATTCTGGCGGAACTCATCAAGATACTTGGTGACTGGCATTCGGAAGCCGTTGTCCTCTATCTAACTATCACACTTCAATTAGTTAAATGTCTTCGCTAAGGCTATTGTTTCAAACAACACCACTTAACTCCACTTTGGGTTTGGAGTGTTAGTTTTCCTTATTATTTTGGTGTTGTATTAACTAGAGTTTTTACATTTATTAACAAAAAGCTGTGTTAGTCCTGATCCTGCATGTTGGTTGCATGGTTTAGGCTCAGCTTAGGGTTGATGCTCATCTATTTCATGAACCAGGATAGGGGACTCAGGCAAATTTTCAGAGGTTTCAATTTTTTGAACCAGTATTACGTGTTAGCTATCTATCATAACCTTAATCAACAATGATAAGTCGAAGCGCGCGCAGCGGAGCACCATGGGTAACAAAATTTGGTAAACTATCCATCCGAGAAAATTTAGTTATCACGTAGTGGGCTCATTTTTCTGCCCATTAAGGTCACGTATTTTTTAAAGTTTTCCGCTGGTATTTTATTTGATCACGGGCTCAATTCGAAGCCCCATAGCTTAGAAAATCTATCCATCCTAGAAAATTTTGCCATCACGTGACCGTACACAGACCACCCGAGCTTCCGTCCGTCCGCACCACAGGCATACCAATGTTTAATCTCACACTTTCTAGCTAGTTTGGGAGCCTGCAACCTGATATCGTACATCCATGTTTTGATTAATTGACAGCTGTCAAAATAGTGTATCTGCTGACCAGTATCGCCTGACCGTATCGCGGGCTCAGTTATCGACCCACTGAGTTCCAGTGTTTTTTGAAGTTATCCGCTGACAAGTTGCTACTTTTCAAATGATCGCAGGCTCAAGTTTAATTTTTTTGAAATGTATTTGAAATAAGTCGTGTTCATGAGCCGTACTTTTGAAATTTTGATTTCAAACTGATCTCGGATGCGAAAATTCAACTGGCTTTTACATGCAGGGAAGGCAATCGCTTTTGACTTTTCTCACAATAGTCACGCGTTGATCACGCTCTAAGTCCAATTTTTAATTATCTAATTGGTCAAAATTTGACAGGTGAGTTCATGCGGAAAATTTACGCAGCGTTCTGGACACTTGCTTACTGATAGCTGAAGCTGGCAGGGTTTTGTGTCATCTCGTGATGTTTTTAACTGTCTTTTTCTACTTGACATGACAGGACGCACAGAGCCTCGACTGTAAGTACCGCATAGAAATCCTTAGTACATTGTACTAGCATTTCTAACATACCTTCACCTAAGTCGTGCTGGCTTTTCTTCCCCCGGAGACCAGTGAGGCGTCTTAATCTATTATTATGTCAAAAATGATGTCAATACATTGAAAACAAACCAGAAGAAAAACGTGACATAATGACGTTCTGTTTTTTTTTTTTTTTGAAGACGTAAATAGAAGAAAACGCCGACTGAATATGATCCGCAAAAACTTTTTCAAGAGTCTTTGTTTGAGTGTCGCCTTTGAAAACACTAAAATGTATTCAAACTAAGACCCAGCGGTTCATTCAATAAACATAAAGTAAAATCGCACTGAAAATAAAACCTGAATAAAGCAGTCTTTGTAAAACAAAACATTTTTGATAGGCGAGATTTTCAGAGATGAGGAAATCACGGGGAAATCATCAGAGTAGAAAATTTTGACAAGTTTTTTGAATCGGCGTAATGCGTATTTGCTTTAATAGCGCAGCTCCCGCGCGCGAAGCGCGCGTGGGACAGAGCCCCATACTCATGGAATATGGTCAACCTCTTTTCGCTTGGTTGTCACGTGACTGACCGAGCGTACGTACGTACGCGTCTACAGATTGTACGGGTAGGGTAGGGGAGACTATCAAAAGGAGAGGTCTGGGGAGAGCAACATGGAGTGAAGACGCATTTTCGGAAGCTCCGTCGGCCACTTTTCTTACTACGGTGTTTATGGAGGTTTCCTCTGTTTTTGTTACTCCTAAGAGAAAATACAGCAGAAACTCATCCTGTAGCTCAACTGAAGCGTCACCTGAAGAAAAACGAGCTAAAGAGGCCTCATCTCCGGACGTGACACTTTCAAGCGACGCCGAGAAAACAATGGCCGCCAAAACTCCTGTGGAAGGCGTCGAGGGAAAACTAGACCTTATAATCGCAAGACTGGATAGCATGGATTTAAAGATGGAAGATATAAGCTTAACTGTTAAAAAGCTGCAAAGCAAGATTACTTCCGTGGAAGTAGATGTCATATCAGTCAAAGATAAACAGGAAAAGCTCGAAGGAAAATTTACACATATGGAAACCAACTCCCAATTTGTCGACAGCGAACTCGACCGACTTCAATCAACTCTCGACGAGCGTAAGAAGGAACTAAGTGAATGCCGAAAGAAAATCCTGTATTTAGAGGCCTATAGCCGACGCGAAAATCTAAAATTCGAAGGAATTCCAGAAGTTTCCCAAAACGCTGAAGAAGGGAAAACTGCAAACGAAGATACCAAAGGCGTTCTTGTGAACTTTATAAAAAATACGCTTGGAGTTGAGAACGCCGAGCATATTGAATTCCAGAGGGTCCACAGGCTAGGCAAGCCAAAAGATGATACTGGTAACGACGGCCGCACGATTATCGCTCGGTTTCTACGATTTTCAGACAAGGAGCGTGTCTTCAAACAAGGGCGAAAGCTAAAGGGCACAAACTTCAAAATGTTTGAGGACATTCCAAAGGAACTACATCAACTGAGGAAAGCGCAGATGGAGAAATTAAAACAGGCAAGAAAAGAAGGTAGACGGGCCAACTTTAGCAAGTCTGAACCAGACAAACTTTACATCGATGGTAAATATATTAAATTCTGACTCTAAAAGAATACTTTGAGTTTGAGCTTTATTCATTAGTTTGCCGAACGGCGATTACAATATTTTCTGGCGAAGTTATAAGTTTCTTTTCTTCTCAATATTATGTATGATTTTTAATTATTCGCTCTTTTGTATCAAAACAACATCAGATAAGATCATCATCCTTTTGTTAGATTTTTGCTCCATGGACACCTTTTACTTTGATTATATGTTTTCTTTTTTTTGGCGGAGGAGCTTTCTTCTGTGTAGGATCTAGGTTGTTAGTAGATGGATATTAATCTGGAACACGAGGTAGGTGTATTATCGTGTTTTTCCCTCTTGTTCCATTTTTGTGTAGTGTACGTAAAAGGCAATAGAATCTATTATTCTAATATATATGTACTGATGAAATTTTTCGCGTTAATTTCCTCTAATTTGAGGTACGGTCTATTCTTATCTAAATATTGCAAAAACCAAGCGGAGCGCTCTTTAATCATATCTCATGTTTTCTTCTGCAATCACAGTTTTACTGGTATTTTACTACCACTGAAATGTGCGCTAGCACGTGCAAATTAGTTTCCTTAAATGTAAGGGGCATTGGAAATTTTAAGAAAAGGAGAACGATATTTACTTGGTGTCGAAAGCAAAAAGCAGATTTCATCTTCTTACAAGAAACCCACTCAAAAATGGACTCAGAGACGTGTTGGAGAAATGAATGGGGGAGTGACATTATTATGGCCCACGGGACCTCCAATTCACGCGGGGTGGCAATTCTTGTTAAAAAGGATGTTGATTGCACAATTCACTCAAAAGTGTTGGACCCCTCAGGACAATATGTTATAATAAAAGCAGAATTTAATGACAAAATGTATGTTCTAATCAACATCTACGCTCCGAATAAAGATTCGAATATCGTGAGCTTTTTCAACAATCTACTTCTGATTTTGCGAAATAATAATTTTGATGAAGAAGAAAACATTATTATGGGAGGGGATTTCAACTGCCCTCTTAATCCACTTATGGATAAGAAAGGAGGCCAATTGAGTCCAAGAAAATCTGTTGTATCAACCATTAGCAACCTACTAGAAGAGTTTGATCTCGTCGATATATGGAGAGTTAAGAATCCTCAGAAAAAGAGCTTTACATGGAGTCAAAATTTGCCTACGATCTTTTGTCGTTTAGACTATTGGCTGATCTCAAATTCTTTACATGATCTAGTTAAAGCAGCAGATATAATCCCGGCAATTAGAACAGACCATGCAGCTATTACTCTTGAACTTGTATACAAATCTGATGACATCAAAGGTCCAGGTATCTGGAAAATGAATTGCTCCCTTTTAGATGATGAAGACTACGTTAATGGCATCACGGAGAGGATACCTATCTGGTTAGCTGAAGGTCGTAAGGACCTTTCGAACTGTCGAAGTATTTGGGACTGGTTAAAATACAACATAAGAGCGCACACTATACAGTATTCCAAAAGAAAAGCTCGAGAAAGAAGTGAAAGAGAAAAGGAACTCCAAGAACAACTCGCTAATGCAAAGTGTGCTTTCGAAACAGATCCTAGTATTTTGAATGCAAATCTTCTTAACTGTGCTAAAGATATGCTCGAATTGTTTTATGAAGAAAAGGTTAAAGGAATAATTATTCGAGCGCGAGCCCGCTGGCACGAGCATGGCGAGAAAAGCACCAAATACTTTTTAAACCTAGAAAAAGAAATCATGTCAAAAACATATGAGAAAATTAAATATCAACGGCTCGTCTACCACGGATCCGTCAAAGATCTTGTCCGAACAACAACGTTTTTATCAAGAATTGTACTCGAGTAAGAACATGAATAATGAAAATTTGCACGAAATTAAATCCTTTTTAAAAGATTTAAACATTCCTAAACTGTCAGAAGAACAAAAATGTCTTGTGAAGGTGAAATTACTCCAGAAGAATGCGCACTTATCTTGGATAGTTTCCAAAACAATAAAACTCCAGGGAACGATGGAATTCCCATCGAATTCTATAAAAATTTTGGCCTTTACTTTGTGAGCCTTTCATTCTCTGTGCTAACGAATGCTTCGAAAAAGGTGAAATGTCGCGCTCTCAAAAGCAAGCAGTAATTACGCTCATCGAAAAGAAAGGAAAAGATCGATCCTTTCTGGAAAACTGGAGGCCGATATCTTTGGTAAATGTGGATGCGAAAATTATGGCTAAAGTTATAGCTGCTAGAATACAAAATGTTCTACCAAGCATCATCCATTACAATCAAACTGGATTTATAAAAGACCGCTATATCGGCGAAACAGTACGATCGATTTTTGACATAATGAACTTCACTGTTGAAGAAAACATTCCTGGTTTGTTGATCTTTATTGATTTTCAGAAGGCTTTCGATAGTTTAGAACGCAGCTTTTTACAAAGTTGTCTAGAATCTTTTAATTTTGGCCAGAGCTTTATTAGATGGGTTGCTTCTTTTTACAAAAATATACAAAGCTGTGTTATCAACAATGGCATAATCTCTGATTACTTTACAGTCGAACGAGGAGTTAGGCAAGGTGATCCTCTTTCTCCTTATCTCTTTGTAGTAGCTGTTGAAACCTTGGCTATCGCAATAAGACAAAATCCAATGATAAAAGGTATTACTATTGACAAGAAGGAAACAAAATTACTTCAATACGCAGATGACACAACTGTGGTTCTGTCAGACATCGACTCAGCCCAAACCCTTTTCAGGTTGTTAGACGATTTTAAGAGGATTTCAGGTTTAGCCGTTAATCCCTCAAAAACTGAAGCAATGTGGATCGGATCATTAAAGGAAAATAAATCAAAACCTTTTGGTATTAAATGGCCAAATGAACCAATTAAAGCTCTCGGAGTCTATTACACCTATGATCAAAAATTACTACTCGAGAAAAATTTTATAGAAAGACTAGACAGCGTGAAAAAATTGGTACACATATGGTCTGCGCGAGGTCTTTCCCTTTATGGAAAGGTTACTGTTATCAAATCGTTGATTGTTCCAAAATTTGTTTACGTGGCATCATTATTAACAATTCCAAAGTGGGCGGTTCAAGAATTGAACAGATTGATATTTAAATTCCTATGGAGAGGTGTTGACAAGGTCACACGTTTGTCAACAATAAATGACTACCAAAAAAGTGGCTTGAAAATGATTGACCTAGAAACGATGGTCAAATCTTTAAGACTTGCCTGGCTAAAGAGAATCTTCAGCGAAAACGACAGCACATGGAAGAATTACTTGCGCTATCAACTTAAAAGTTTCGGGGGCCTCTTTCTATTTCATTGTAACTACGATGTAAAAGACGTTCTAATCAAATCACCTTTTTACTCCGAGCTGCTTCAATGGTGGGCTGATTTTCGTGACGACTTTTCTACAGATAAAATGCGGTATGATATTATTTGGAATAATAAAGACATTAGGATAAATAATAAGCCAATTTTTTACAAAACATTTTTCGACAATGGTTTTCTTCTGGTTTCCGATCTTCGATTTGATTTAAGTATTGCAGAGTCACATAGTATCATTATAAGAAAGATTGAAAAAACCAATTTCTTAGTATGGGCAGGTCTCAGATATGCTGTACCGTCCCACTTAAAAGCTAATCCTAGAACATCTGATCACACCTTTTTAACAATGCCACCCTCCGTGATAATTAAGAATAACGACTTTGATATTTTAAAGAAGAAATCAAAAGATTATTATTCATTGCTCATAAGTAAAAAGGCACAGCTTTCTAAAAATACCTCAGCTTTAAAACGGGATTTTAATCTGACGGAAGATCAGCTAGAAAAAGCATTTCTTTTACCGCACATCATATGCTCTGAATTCTATGTTAAGGCCTTTCAGTACAAGGTCCTTAACTCCATATTATATACTAACACTAAGTTATATAAAATAGGATATATTACCGATGATAAATGCTCCTTTTGTATGTATAAACCGGAAACCCTTATCCACCTTCTTTTTGACTGTGTATATGCAAAACTTTTCTGGAAGGATTTTGAATTATATTACTACTCGTTGTCAAATGAATTGATCAACCTTAGTCTACAGGATGTGCTATTAGGTATAATAGCCGTACAATGCCCTTTACTGAACTACTTTCTACTAATAGCCAAACTATATATATGGGATTGCAGAAGATCACAAACTCGTCCAATTATTGCAGGGTTTAAGTTAAGGATTAATATTAAATTCGAAACAGAAAAATATATTTGTACCAAAAATAGAACTTTAAGTGACTTTTATAAAAAATGGGCGATATTGTGCACCGCGTAACGCTTTGTTATCATTAGTATTATTATTATTACAGTCTAGGCCGTTCAGTTCTTTTTACTTATCCTTCTAAATAAAAAGAAAAACACTTATACTTAATCTATATATAATCCTCTTATACTTTTCTGTTGCCACTGTGTTTATAGTGTTAGTATTGTAAATTATGTTAGTAATCTCTTTAGTTTAAGTTATTAGTCGTCAATAATTGTAATTGTAACTTTCTTTTCTTCTTTCTATGTAAAAAAAGTAATGAGTACGGTTTTGTAAGTAGTGTAAGCACTGTAAGTTGTGTTAAGTAACATTTTGTAAGTAGTGCTTGTGTTGTAAATAAATAAAAATAAAAAAAAAAAAAAAAAAAAAAAAAAAAAAAAAAGAGACTATCAAAAGGAAGGGAGGGCTGTCTCAGGCGTGTGTTGGTAAGTCCTCATCTTTTATATACGACATTCACAATATGGTTAATTGACAGCTGTCAAAATAGGATAGCCACTGACCAGTATCCCATGACCATATCGCG